GTCAACGACACTGGTCAAGGCATCCTGGACTTTGGTATCGTCTTTTGGCTTGTTTTGATACTGATAGCTGGTTCGTGACAGCTGCACGAGTTTGCAGGCCTTACTGATGCTGCACTGTTGTACTGTCACAAAATAGTCAACAGCTTCCCTCTTGTCAGCAGGCGTTAAGACTTTTTTCCGAGGAACTCCTTGATAGCACGGTTCTCAAAGGTGAGTTCAGCAACAATCTTTTTATACTGGCTCAGTTCAGCTTCCATGTCCTTCATTTTCTTGACATCGCTGACTTCCATGCCGCCATATTTGGCTTTCCAGTTATAAAAAGTTGCCTGGTTGATACCCAGTTCCCGGCTGATTTCTTTTACAGGTACACCGCTTTCCTGTTTCTTGATAGCAGCCACTATCTGGCTCTCTGTGAATTTTGACTTTTGCATAATGACAGTTTTAAAATTAAAGATTTTCTCTAATTTAATACTGCCGAACTTTGGGGACGCTTACAAATCCACTATAGCCACAGCTCTAGGCATTCATGTTTTTTGAATATATACAGTGCAATTAAATGACAGCTTTTTTTATACTGTAAAAGATCAACAATGGCGATTTTTTTGGTACCTACTGTCATAGCCCGGGGAGGCGGCATCACAATCAATTGCTAAGGCATTAGAGAGGCCATTTAAATATCTAACATTCATTCGGTTGTTAAACAAATTGGATAATCTTATTCTTTACTTCTTATTTTTCTAGAATAATTAATTTTTTTTTGAGCTTTTTAAGAGATCTTCCTTTTTGAGTCTTAATAGTACTCTGAGAAATCCCCAATTCTTCAGAGATTTCTTTTATTTTTTTCCCCTCAAAAAAAATCATTTTGATGATTTGCTTCCCTTGTGGTGATAGTTGGTCTAAAGCCCTAACTAGTTTACCGTATACTTCTGATCCGACAATATGCTTAAAAGAATCATACTCTTGAAATAAAACCGTTTGGTCAACATTTTCCTGCAAAGAAATTATATTTCTATTCTTCTTAATCCAATTTAAACTTGCATTTCTTACTGTAGTGTAGAGATACGATTTGAGCACATTTATGTCAAAAAACATTTCCCGCCGCTCCCAAATTTTTATAAATGAATCTTCTGCTATATCCTCTGCCGCTGCCTGGTCTTGGGTAATATTAAAAGAGTAATAACAAAGAGACGTATATAATAAGTTGAAAACCTCCGTAAAGGTAGCATGGTGTCCCAGCCGGAAGCCTTCCATCAAGCCCTGGTTACTATTTATCTCTTTTTTTCGCATTCCCGATGTATAGGAAGCGATTCTACATCTAATAAAAAAGATTGCTTGATTTCTTTTTAAGCAATTCCAGACATAAGAAAGACGTGGAACTCCGCTTACTGTACTGAGGCCGTCGATTGCCTTGACTACGCATAAGGGAGCCCACGCCTAAACGTGAGCTCTTCACTTATTGCCTCGTAGTCATGAAATTATCGACGTTTCAGTACAAGACCTCAAGCGAAAGCTTCAATTAGTTATGAAGTATCGCAAAATAATTATTTCAACATGGAAGTTACGAAGAAATATCTAAAATGTGCTTATAACCCCATTTTATACCATCAATATAGGTTGAGTTTTCCAAATCAATTATTGATATGGAAACAGAGGAATTTTTCAAGGAATTACTTAAGTTTGGGGAACGATTAAAGCAAATTCGGAAGCACCGAAAACTAAAGTTGCTTGATTTGGAAGTGCTTTCTGGAATTAATGATAGCGACCTAAGCCGTTACGAAAGAGGAAAGGAAAATATTGAATTTATTACAATCTTTAAGCTCGCAAAAGCATTAGAAGTCGATATTAATTTGCTGACTGACTATAATGGCCCCCTACCCGAAAACTCAACTTTTAAGGGTCTAGGAAAAGCGAGTTCAAAGACTTACAAGAGATTAAAGAAATCCCCAAATTAGCTTCTTTCCGTTTATTAATGATAGTTGGACCGATGTTAAACGGAGCGTCGCAATGATGCCGCCACAATTCCTGCTGCTGGCAACCCCGAAACCTATAAAATGCCCCAATCCTTCCTCTTCAAAGGGTTGAAATTGATTGGATACTTGAACTATTCTTAGTTAACGGGGAATTTATATTCATCTGCCTGCTCGACCTTGCTTGCCCCAACTTTGTACAGGATATTTCCATCACAGGGATAAACTTTAAGACGGCCGTACAGCGTAAAAAAATTTCCTGTACAAGATGGTTTAATTTCATCGGACCATCCGCTGCCATATACAGCATAAATCTTGTAAAAATTACAATCCTGACCATGTACGGCCGTATCACCCGTATAATAAAGGCCAGGCCTATTGGAAATAATAAACATTCCTTTGTGTTTGCTACCCTTCAGTTTAAAATACCTGCTGATAGAAGGAGCGCCAATGGTATAAACAACGGGCGTGCCGGATAATTTCAAATCAAGGCCATAATAAGAACTCAGGCCATTCGGGTCCGTTGCATTTGAAATTTGGGTAACCAGTTTTAAAACAGGTGTATTGGGTGGAGGGGCTGGCAGTTTAGCGGGGTCAACCAGTTCTAACCGGGGAACAGGTTTCTTATTTTCCTCAGTATTTATTACCAATGAATCAAGTTTTGTAGCGGGCGTCAATGCTGGTGAATTATGGACTGAATCGGACGCGATAGCTTTTTCCGATTTGTTATTTTCATCTTTGAGGTTAAGCGGATAAATAATGGTGGTTTGTTTGCCGTTATTTACAACTTGTATTTCCCTGGCGGATTTGTTACCCGGCATGAGATACAAAATAACCGCAGTTAAAACCCCAGCAAGGACAACGTAAAGGACCTTGTCCCTGAATCCTTGCCAGGCTGTTACAGCGTTGGCCTTTAGCAGCGTATTCATAGATGTGTAAATTGTATTATCAAGTTAGCCATTTATCCGGTGATTTCCTAAAATTTAAAAACGCCTGCACACTGCCGCAATTAAATAAATTTCAGTAATTTACCAGCTTAATAGGATAAGGTTTAGGTTACTGTATTTGATTAATGCATCCCGCCGATGGCGGGATTTTTCTTGTGGCTACCGCAAAACAAAATCAACAAAGTTACCCCGGAGAAGTAGTGGCAGGGCCTGCCAAAAGGCCATAAAGGCAGGAGGTATTACTGTAAGTGATGCAGCGGACAAATGCAGGGAGAAAACTTCCTATCAATACACATGCAAAGGTTTCGGGATAGCCAGGGTCTCCCTGTCTACTGTGTCCAGCAGTTCGTCGGGCTGCTCCACGAAGGGGTCGTACCAGTCGGCCTTTGCGGTTGCCCAGTCCAGCCACGCAGAAAGGTCATCAGGCTGCTTTCCAACGGCCATATTTTTTGCCTCCACCTCAGCAATATAGTTTCGAAGATTAGTGGCCTTGTGCCAGCGGGCCGCTTTCTGCAGGAGCGTTTTAAAAGCCAGCACTTCTTCCTCCCGGCGTTTTTCAAATAGCGCCTGGAGGCGTTCTTTTTCTTTGCGCTCCGCTGCTTTCTTTTCGGAAGCTAAACGGTCAGCTTTCTTTGCGTTGCCCTTTATTTCCAGCCAGGCCAGGATAGCGGGCAATTGCTCTTCAAGGGGCAGTTTGCCGTCTTTCCATTCTTTGGCGGGGTAATCCCTGACCTGGAAAGACAGAATACCCGTGGGATGAAATATCCGCCGGTCCCAGTGGCTATCTTTTATCACTTCCATTTTGACTTTTTCCCGAAGTAACACCTGGAAATCATGCCCCTCAATGGTCGCCTGGGTTTCCAGGTTACGGCAGGAAACGGCATGCCCGCGTAGCTGCAAGGACTTTATGAGCTGGTCCCAGAACTGTTCCGCCCTTGGCACTAATTCCTTTGCCACCCTGGTATCCAGGCTTTCCCTGCGTGTCCTGACGGCATTAATATACTCCCGGGTATCGGGCTTTTGAGCCCTTAGGAGCTTGTGTAATTCAGCGACAAGTTTGTCCGGGTGGGCTGGTTTTTCCGCAGCACCCGGCGTCCGGGCAAGAAAGGACGCAATTTCCTTTTGCAGCGCTTTCACCGGCGAGGGTTCCGGGATGGTATAAGTGCCTTCCTCATTTCTTAGTTCCAGCGTGGTTTGAAGGTTCGGATCGTTTAGTACAGGGAGGGCGACTTTTTTGACCTTTTTTCCAAATTTCAGCTTTTGCCAGTGGCCGGCTTTAGGCAGAGGGATTTTTAACCGCAGGCATACTTTTCTTAAGCCGGTATCAGAAATTTTAAATTTTCGCGACAAGGTAAGCATGGGCTCATCCCAAACGAGGTCATATAATTCTTTGCGTGAAAGATTTAGTTGTTGCATAAGCTTGGGCAATCATTATTTTATTCCTAAAATACCGGAGCTGTTGGTATTTTCAAAACTTCCTTGTCAGACCGGTACGACGGCACATCGACCGCAGCTGACCGGTTTATTTGGTGACGGGGTTAAAGCTGAATGATTGGTCGTACGCATTTAAATAAAGATCAAAGAATCTAATATGTCACCTTTCTATAAATAAAAGTGACATATTAATTCTCCGATGTCACCTTTTTACGCATATTTGGGACAATGGAAAAAGCCCATACCCATATAGAACACTCAATATAAAAGAAAAAGAAAGGTGATTTGATATTCCCTACCGATTTCAGGGGACAGGGGACAGAAGCCGCCATAAAAAAGGCGCTCTCCCGCCTTGCCCAAACAGGTAAGCTCAGGCGGCTCGCTCATGGGATTTATTACGTTCCAAAAATCGACCCCGTTTTCGGCGAAATATATCCTTCCCCAAAAGAAGTAGCAGAAACCATTGCCAAAAAGGAAAAAGTAAGAATTCGCCCGGCAGGGGCCTATGCATTGAACCAGCTGGGGTTAAGTGAACAGGTGCCGACCAAACTGGTATACATCACTGACGGAGTACCCAGGCAGTTAAAAATAGGTAAAGTAGCCATTCAGTTCAAGGCGACCACGCAGAAGAAATTATCTGCCAAAGGAGAAATCAGCGGATTGATTATCCAGGCACTGGAAGAACTGGATACCCGCAACATGAACACGGAAACGGAAAAAAGGGTAAAAGAACTATTACTCAAAGAAGACCCAAAGAAATTACAACACGATATGCAATTGGCGCCCGCGCGGATTCATGATTATATACTTAATCTCCTAAAACAGTCCAAATGATTGGATGGCTTCAATTGACAGACGGGCAGCGCTGTAAAGACTACACCACAGGTAAATCATGAAGTTTACAGCCCAAGAGCCCTTCGAAAAAATCCCTTTTTTACTTTTTGCTTTTTTTGTGGACGCACTGGACCAGTGACTTCTAAAGTAACTTTATTGCCCTTAAATTGTTCAGGGATCCGTGAACGAATTTTATCGCTAAGCTGTGAGAGTAATATTACAATATATTGATTATCGGCCCTGCCCCGG